GTTCGCTGAAGTATTCTGCCCAGCGATCAAGTCGTTGATCCCTATTGTGAATAGCTCATCCTCTCTTATCGCAGACTGTTTCACTAACTGTAGTTCGCCGACCTCCCGTATTGCGTATCAGTCGGAAAAGTCTTTGACTATTCCCTAATGCAGCGGCTACTTTCATTTCACTGGCTATTGTTGTCCACCAGTTCTCACAGTCCTTCTTGAGACTCCTCGTAAGCTGACGTTGTAGATGCAACCTAACTCTGTTTTGATCCTGGCAGGACGCGACTTATCGTTTTCTCTCCATCAGGGCTACTGACTCATGAGATTTCCAATGCCTCCGACGGGCTTGAGGCTCAGTCCCACAAGCAACGTTCGCTGCGGAATGCATTGCTCGCCTAATCTGATCCCACTGCCCATTTAAATCATCTCGTTGAGGAGCGCTTAGTCCACGCATTAGCTTTGATTCACAGCGCACTCGAACTGCTGGAACAGATAGTCGATGATGAGCTATCCGAGCTTGCTGGTTTTGTCGCCGATCAGTCAGTCGGAGAGTGAATTGCATCATAACTAATGCGTGGTCAGACTCAACGCAGCTGGTCCAATAGGACCTGCAATTTGCACTGAACTACGCCAACGGTAACATACTGCTATGTGGTCGACTTGAGTTAGCGTACCAGTTGAATCGGAGCGCCACGTTGCCGTCCGTTGAGAGCTGTGTCGGAAGTTGGTGCTTGATAGGAACAGAAGATGGTTTGCGCAGAACTGAAGAAGTGGATCGCCGTTATCTGTTCGTTGGCAGGGTAGAGCACAACTACCGCGTAGGCAAGCTTCTGATGCGCTCAATTTTCCAACCTACGCGTTGAAGTTACCTGCAAGTACAACTATGTCGGAGATTTGCCTCATCCGATTGAGAGCGGTCAGTTTATCGTAGAAACCGTCTTTTTGTGTATCAGAACTCCAGTTGGTCGGTGCATATGCCGAAATTATGAACCAACACCTTTGTTGTAGGTTGGGTGTTGCTTCCCTTCCGGA